AGAAAAGTAGTTTCCATTCACGTTGCTGGAGCCTGGAAGTTCTTTCACCACAAGCAAATGAGTTGCTGAAGAGTAGGCAGTTCTACAAATGATTCAAGCCAGAGATCCACCACTTGGCTTTAACTATGCTGACTGTTTGGTTTAGGAAAATTAATCCACACAAGATGAACTTTCTTTTCACAGTTTAAACTGCTGCAGGCTTAGGCCATCACCACTCATCAGAAGCTGCTCCTGCTCCAGGCAGTGAAGGAACACTCAACAGACATAGCCACAACTGTGAAGCCACAAAGAATAAAAGCATCCAAGAACAACTGTTGTTTGTTTTATTGAATGGCTGAAGCAGGACTGTAATCCAGGTATACCTAAACCAACTGTTGGTCCACTCTTATCATCAAAAAGAATCAAATTTTTTTATAGCATTAACACAAATGGAAGGAACATGAAGCATCATAATAGGAAATTCTATGTGACATGAGAGCATGAGCAGACTGGTGCCACTTCAGCATTTACAGACTGCACTGTACAGACCAGCCACACTAGTGTTATTCACCTCCAGCCTCTAGGGAGAGGATCCTTCTGTCCACACTCACCTCGGAGCCACCAGCATGAGCTCAAAATGCCATTTGTGCTACTGGAGTTGTAGTCTTGTAGAAATATTTCTATACTTAGTATTTTACCAAAGAATCTTTACTATCCTCTCTGAAGTCACATATAACCATTAGAAATATTTACATCGAACATTTACAGCTGGTTCATAATATACAACACAACAATTCAGCTATAATTTCTAATCTTCCAGTGTAAAAGTTTCAAACAAGTTGCTATTGTAACCTCAACTGACCTGGTTTGCACACAGCCACAGGCACTACAGGGCACGGCAAAAACTCGTGGTGCATGATTAAAAAAATGGAATGATGTTACTTTAATAACAATTACTTTGGGGGTTGTTGGTTTGGTTTTTTTAAACGAGCAATTTTAATTCCTAAATCCCATCCGGTGCTACTACTAACATTTAAAATAGTCTTGAGAGGGAAAAATACTTAGAAATAAATACACCTTTTAAAAAAAAAAAACCACAATTAACCATGTCAGGATATTTGTTTTCCACACAGTTTAAAGGAGACCTTACTCTTCATCTTCACGGTGCAGTTCAATCCATTCTTATCTTCTGGTTTGTCATCCTGTAAATGATGCTGTCATAGCCAGGATCCATGTTCCAGAGGTTGTAGGAGATAACTAGCACAGCTAAAGCAAGACCTATCATCATCCACAGAATAATGTTGAAGATCACAGAGTAGTTGTAGTTGTATGGGTAAGCAAGGTTGTAGGGATTGTCTTTTTTAGCCTGTAATAAAGAAAATGTGTGTTACTTTAAAGAGAAGCATTCTGGCTCCAGCCAAAGGCTGAGCAACCTCAACAGGAGAGATCATTTTTGTCTGCACAGATCTGAGGTGAGGGCACAGAAATGATTATGTGACCATCAGTGGAATCCACAGGAAAGGGTGACAGGAGCCTCATGGAATCCAGTCAGGAAGGCAAAGCCCATGTGAGAGCACGGGCAGGACTGAGTGGCAGCAGCTCTGCAGAGGGACCTGGAGGTCCCAGTGGTCAAGGTGACCAGGAGCCAGCAGTGTGCCCCCTGCAACTGCATCCTGGACTGTCTGCAATCCAGCCAGCAAGTAAAGGAAACATGTTTTCCCCATGCAGGGGGCAGGAATGACATGCATACTGGGCACAAAATGCACAAAGGCAAATTCTAACAAGGCAGAAGGGATTTAGGTTCACAGTGAAAGTGGTTAAGACTTTGGACCAAGCTGTCCAGAGAGGCTGTGTGACTTCCAGCCAAGGACTTTTCAAGAACTTGTCTGGACGAGGTCCTGAGCAGCCTGATCCTCAATTAGTCCTGCTTTGAGCAGCAGATTGGACTAATGACCTCCAGAAGCTTCTCCCCAACTTCAGTCACGATGTGTGAAGACCAGGACAGGTAAGCTGACCTCTCTGCACCCATGCCTAAACCACAGGTTTCTAGTCCTTAAAAAATGTTACACTCCAGTGAACAACTGATGCAATTTGCATCACTTTTAATAAATGGGATAGAGAAAAATGTGCATCTACTACCTGTGAAGCCTGGAGAATGGAGCGAGTCTTCCTTATGAGGGGAGAATTAAACTCCTTCACAGCCACCACTTCTACTACTGCATTCCCACCATACAGGTTAAACATCTCATCTGCAAACTGGGACAGCAAAAGGGATTTCATTAAGAACCTGCAGCCAGGGCCTAAGCAGAGTTTTGTTAGCCAGCTGTATTAAACCATATCATCTTCAGGAGTAATTATGGAAAGCTATAGAAGTTCACACTGTTTTAGAATTTCACTAACACCAAAGTGCCACCTCTCCCCTGGTTTACAAGGGCTCTTTAAAACCCCTCAACCCCTGTCCAGCACTGTAGTTTCTGCCTGTTTTCTGGGCTGTAACTCCTCCTCCCATCCCTGTTACAAAAGCTCCACCAATTTCCCAATTGCATCTGTCACTTTCAACAAAACATTTAGGTTCTCAAACTTCCACTGGGAAACTACTGAATATTTTAATCTGATCCAAAGCCTAATGTGTCTAATATTTAAACAGATTTGCTTAACTGCAAAAAGGCCTAAGAGTAATGTTTAGAGAAAACAGGGATTTGGCTTAGCTAACTGATGCTTTTGCACTTTTCCATCATGATTTGGGAACTCTCAGAAGTGACTGGGCTTAATAAAAGTTTAACACATTGATAGATGAACAGCAGTTATTTTACAGGCTTGGAAATTCAGATTTATACAGCTTTGTGGGCAGGGGCAAACTAACCACTGCACCCTGGGATGTGGTGTTTCCACACTTCCAAGAGGCAGTTTTTGAGAGACTTACTGGTGGTTTCAAATGTAAGGTGTTTATTTAAGAAGAACAAACATATCAAGTTACGTTGATATATGGTTTCAGTGCATCCCTACTCCCCTATGCAAAATATCTAAACACATTGTCCCATCATGCCAATACTTACCAGAGAGGCAAACTGTAACACTGGATTTTAAAAGTGAACAACTGCATTTTAAAAATCCAACAACAAAAACAAGCATCAGGCAAGACATCACTAATGAAGTGACAACTCAAAACATAAGGAGGTCAATCAACTGACACCCTTGTAGTTAACACATAATTATTACCGTGAGTTTTGTTCATTAGGTAGAAAATATACCTTTTGCAAAGAGTCCACAAGAATCTGAGAAGCATCCTTGAACTGCTGAGAGTCTTCCCCATACCGTTTTCCAACCTCTTCCAAACCAGACAGCTCCAGAGAATACAGGTCTGGGGAGTGATCTTTGGCTAAGTGTTTGTGCCGAGACAGCTTTGAGGGCAGAGAGAAATTCGTTCATACACAGGTTATTCTAAACACACGTTCCACAAAGTCCATTTACTGGGACTAATCCAACCTCACTTTCCACAGTCACACTCCATATTGATTAGGAAGTGGAATTTCTTGCCAGCTCTAAACTAAATGTCCACAATTGTTTCCTTTTTTAATTCTACAGAAGAAAGGAGATGATGATTATGCAGCATCTCTTCCTAACATGAAGCTACATACACATAATAAGAGAGATGCACTAAAAAGAAATATGACACCTACTGACATCAGAATCTGTAATTCTGTTCTGCAATTGCCATGAAAATAAAGCCTAAGAAAAACACATAACTACAATACTTAGATACCAACATTTCCTCCTCTGAAGCTGCCCTTGCAAAACTGAGTAGGCTGCAACCTCTACCTTGCTGTTCCACACGTACAAAAGTAGTTTATTTAAGGAGTATCATTTCATTGTCTCCAACTCCAAACTATCTCAAAGGAGAGCAGTGATATTCTTGCACTTCTGTAGGTGTGAAGCTGCAGCAATGACATTTGTCTGCAGAGTAGAACAGTCACTGAAAGCAAGACATTTCATCTGTTCTCTCTTCCCACATACCTTAACCACAGCATTTCTGGTCTGCCAGATAAAACTAAGCTGTTCTACCTCATGTTATCAGGAGCCCCATTACTCTCCACCAACCCTTCACCTAACATGAACGTCTGAGTTTTCCAGGAGTATTTCTGTCACTTACAGAGCTAAGAGCTGCAGCTTACAGACACACAGAAACCCCCAAACAAACAGACCAACCAACCCTGCACCACCCACCCACCCAAACAAACCCTAAACCACAGCAACAAGGCAGCAGCTTCTTAGTGCAGAGATCCTCAGAATCAAAAGCTCACCCCTCCATTGGGACATTTCTATCACCACCACTAGTCATGGTACAGAAGTCACTCCAGTCTTTCCAGATTAAATGATATTTTGAAGTGGACAGGGTAACAAACATGTTCTTAACTACCACTGGTGGGCAAAATGTTTCAAAAAACCTTACCAGGCTTGCAATGTCATGTAGGACTTGTAGTTCTGACAGAAAAAGCAAGTCAACCTGTGGAAAGACAGAAAGAAAGAGACAGGTATTTCTTCTGATGAAACCAAAGTTGGGGAAGTCTCATTTTGTTGCAAGTCTCAGTATTTTACAACAGGTTATGTCTAGAAGGAAATCATTCTTTCAATAAAGTTACTTTCAAAAAACCCCTTAACATTTAGTAATTAGAATTCAGTCAGAAAAAAATTAAGAGTGGGCTCTCCTAGGCAAAGAAAGAGGGAAGGGAGAAAAGAGAAAAGCACAAACTAACTAGGAGTATTAGAAACAAATAAATCACAGAAGTTCCCAGTGCTGAATGTCCTTTACCTCGTTGTTTCTGCTGAGGGAGTTGAGGGGAAGGGAGCTGAGAATGGAGCTGTCCTGGAACAAACGGTTCCGCAGCTGGCGCAGGGTGACAGAAAGGTCCTCAAACACTGAGTTGGCTTTGCCCACCATGTACACTCTCTGCAGGAACAGACACTGCTTAGTGACAACACAGGTTTGTCTTCAGTTTTCCCAGTCACACATCGATCCTACTTGCAACCTCCAATGCCAAATTTCACACAATCAATTGATTCAGCACCTAGAACACATGGAGTGAGAGGTGGAGCAACACTCACCTCCTCACTGGGGGCCAGCTGCAGCACCACGGGGGTCTCCTCAGAGAACAGAGCATGAATAGCATTTGCAACACTGTCAAGACTGAAAGGAACGGCCTGGAAGACAAAGCCTAGTCAGATTTTTGGGTTAAACAGGTCCTGATGATCTAAAAGGAGAAAATCTGCTTAACTACAGAAGTCTCGAGAAATAAAGTGCAGACATATTTCCAAAGTGATAATAACAAGTAATAGGAACCTGTGTGCCAAAAAACACATCACTGTGTACCTATGAACAGACACCTTGTTTGGCTGTGTGGCAGACAATATATTTTTTAGAACTCCAAGGGACTGTGACTGTAATTAAGAGGCTTATTTAGGCTCAGAGCACAGCCTTCTTCAGCAGTAAAACAAAGAAGCAATACAAAAGGAGAACTAATCTTACTGCAAATAGAAAATTATGAACCCCAGAAAACTGACCAATGAAAATATACCAGTAGAAAGGCCAACTACTGAAACAAAACAAGAGACAGATAGAAAAACTACGAAATGCCGGCACAGTTTAGTGCCTCCACTGGCAAGATAATAAACTGCTTTTGTAAACACCTGCTGCACTTCACAGTACTTGAGGAAAACTCAAAAGATCATTTAGAGGACGATACAGTACATCCAAGAATCAACATCATATAAGATGTTATCACACACACTCAGCTGAAGCAAAAAGGTTAGTGATTCTGCCTATGAGACATTTAAGTTACATGGGAAGCAGTGGATTCTCTGACTCTTAGTACAAATATATTAAAACTAATGTCTTTCAAGGAGAACGTGCTTTGCCAAACAAGTTACAGAACTGAATGCAAGAGGCCCTGGGTGATCTCAAAGGGCTCTCACCTTGGACAGGATTCTGATTATTGATCTACACAGCCTGATCCAGCATTTCAGGGGATATGGGGATGTCAAGTGAAGTAAGAAAAAAGTGAACATGGGGGAATACAGCAGAGGATCCTGTACTCCTCATTAGATTACAAGAGTGACAGAAATCCTGGGACAGTTCCAGCTGTGGATACTCACATTCTCAATAGGGTAAGAAAACCCTTTCGCAGGCAACTTGAGCTTGTCCACTCCCTTCACTGTCACCAGCACAGTAGCTCGTGGTCTGTGAAACAGATCACCCACTGCAAGCCCAGGCCAGGAAAGGTCCTATTACAAAAGAGTAAAAAAAAGGTCTGTATGTCACAAGGACAGAGAAAAGTCCTCCCCCACTATTACAGCAAAATAACTCGCTACCTTGCTAATACCTCTGTGCAGGACAGGCTACTGGAAATTTCATGGGGAGCCAAGTTAGCACTATACATCTTAAGTAGTGCTGTCTCAAGTCAACACAATACCCTCTAATATATTGTTTCTTCTGGATAAAATAATCAAAATTTACTTCTTAGGCACACTACTCATACAAGCCTGTTACTAGTTCGATGCAAAAAAGGCATAATTAGTTAACAGCAAGATATTCCCAAACAAATTCCAAAACACAGGCTAAGAGACCTGCCCTCAAACCAGACTTACCAGACTTCTTCCGCAGCAGCAGTATGGAAGAAATGGGAACTGGCTGCCCTCACCAGCACTGTAAGGATACCTCAGTTTGACACTATCTGGCTGCACACAGACACTGCTGGAGACATGTGCCTATTACACTTTCACACACTACTTCAGCAGCCACTCATCCCTGCTGAAGCCCAGCAAAAAATTCAGTAGGCAAGATGGAATCAGTCCAAGGGCTCCTACTCATGTCCCCCCCTCACTAAAGCTACATTCCAACACTTAATGTGAGAAAACACCACCACAAATCATGTTTTCAAGTCTTTGGATTACTCCCTACGTAACCAGGCTGCTTGCTCTTATTAACTCTCCCCAGCAGACAACTTGCTGACCTGACAGAATGCCTGCCTAGCCAAGCCATTCCTCAGCCTTCAGAGTCCACAGGAGCAGAGCCCCACAGACAGCTCATGGGCAGGAAGTGACAGTGGTTTCCACAGATTCTCAGCATGCAGTTGGGTCTCAGAGGAACTGAAGACCAGCACTGTACAGCTTCTGCAGACTTGCTTCCTTCTACAGCTGCTGATTCAAACCATCCAGCCAGCACAGCCTCTGCCTGCTCACATGACCCACACAGCTCTAAGCCTGGAAAGCACCTCTGACAGCTCACACATTCCTCCAGACAAACAGGGCATTTTATATACTCCAGCACATGACAGCAGGATTTGCATTCTGTTGAGTGAGCAGGTCTGTAGTCTCAGAGGTGTTTCACATGTACCTCATCAATAGAAAAGCCCATGGTCAGTGCAGCCACATCTGGGATCCGCTCGCCGGGAATCGGCCAACTCCCATCCCGAAACACAACCGACTGAGGGGACCGCAAGACACTCAGCTCATCACCACCCACCCCTGAAAAACAAACACACAAAGCTGTCAGAATGCTAACAAACTTTCCCTTACACAACACAGAAAAAGAGAGTATAGAGCTTTTCCATCCCTTCTTCTTCCCTCTCCTCAGTTTAGAGACAGCAAGGAATGGGAACTGATTGTTTTAATGCTCTGGAATACAAAATAAGGTTTCTATACAACAAGGACTAAGGACAAACAAATGTGTATTAACAAAAGCAGGACAATTATTCAGGAACACTCCCCCTGCATTCAGAACCATGTGGCTCCTGAGAAGCAGCTCTGGTGTCTCTGCTCTGCCTGTTCCACCACTGACACTGTAAGATGTTTTGCCTCCTTGGACAAAGTACAGGGTCTAAGCTGACTGTGTGAAGCCACAACCTGCAATACTTCTCATGTTGGGTTTTTACTTACCTAGGATCCCCCTGCACTCTCTTCCCCATTACCCTGAACAGCAAAATTGACTAAAAGCTTATTTCTAAGTTGTTTTACAATGACAGTAACTTATTGTGCAACAAAGTCAGAAAAAAACCCACAGAAATAAGAGATGAGCTTATTTCGGCCTAGCTTCCCATTTTAAAGTCACCTGAGCATAGCTGCAATACTGTGTACACAAAAATTTATCTAAATACATTTTAAAACTTACTTGGAGTATATAAGTAGTGACATGCACAATGCAAAATTTCCAGCAATGTTCCTCAATGATCTCAGTAAATTTCTAACAGAAAACTAATCTGACACATGATACAAGAAAATCAAGCAATAAAATACAAGTAAATCAAGATTTGCAGACACCTGAGCTGAAGGTCTGATTATACAACGAGTCTGGCTGCACACTTCAAAATTACATCAATACCTTAACTGTCTAAAGAAAATAAAAGTATTTACTCTTCTGACTACTGAAACTTGGTTACCAGTCCAAGCAGTGATATACAACAGTTTTCCAGGACACCAACAAATCTAAATTCTATTTACAAAAATAAGGCGAAAGTGAACTGGTGTGTTGCACAGCTAAAATCTTGCCTCACACTAATTTGACTAATGTGACCTTGAAGATGCTGTTGTAAAACCTGGGACAAACGTTGACAGTAAATCTGAGCTGTGTTATGATAAACATACTGAAGGACAAAGTACTGTGATGGAGGTTGGGGAAGGGTGGAAAAAGGAAGGAAACAGGCCAAACCCAGTGGTGTACATGAAGCAGCCTCAAGCATTTTCTGATTTAAACTGATGTATTCATTGGATGTCCTGCTACCAATTTCAGTGGTGTATCAAACCACACTGTGAAGAAATGTTTCCAGACCAATTACTTTAAGAGGGAATTTACAAACTGGCTACAAATATTTTTGTTCAGTCCATAGGATTTCCCACAGCCCATGCTCTCCATAAGGCTGTAAGACAGTCACACAGGTTATGCAGGACAAATGAGCCTCCTTAGGGCAGGACTGCCCAGGTGCATAAAATCAAAGCATTTATCAGTTTCATATAAATTTCCCTTCAATGATTAAAGCCGAATTTGAAGCTGGGAACACAAGTAGAGTCCCTGTAATCGCCTATGATGTATTTAACCAAATTCCTACCCTGCCCAAGTTGCACTTCTGGCTCTCTTTGTGAGCCTGAACAGCTAAAGTCTACCAAGTGAAAACTATTTACACGGCCTGGGATCCTGAAGCCCTATCACCAATCTGACTCACAGAAGGGACACTAAGCATTTCAGCAACCATAACAGCAGCTCGTGGAAATTCGTGCAAGGCAACAAAACGATGTGTGTCGACCCAATGCCCCACGCAGCGCTTGGATGGAGAGGGAAGTGTTGGAGCACAGTCCCTGGAGGTGGGTGGGGAGGATGGATGGGGCGCAGGGAGCTGCAGCAGCACAGGGACAGCGCTCGGCTCTCAGCCTGGAGCACGGACACACATAGAGGGACGGACAGACGGACGGACACACACGGAGAGACACA